TTCCCCCCCATCATCTTTGCCGTTTAATAGAAGATCTGGTTACATTGTTTACGAGTGTAACATAGTTAAAAAATAGAGCGCTCTGCTTGTTCTTGGAGGAGGGGGTAAGGCTGACCATAACTCTAGGGGACACTGCCCATGTTTCAGTCATTGACAAACTTCAGGAGGTTCTGGAGGCTCACAGCAAGGAGTTGTTTCAAATCCATGGGACTGAGGACAGGTGACAAATACTCCCAAGTCCCCTGCCCCCACAGCCTGGTGTGGAACCCAGAACACATTATTGACCAAAAGTGATCAGCCATGGCTTATAAGGGTCAGGACAGCAGCAGTCCCCAGGAGGCTCAGAAGATGACAAGTTATAAAAGTAAGTCACAAACACACAAGTTGTAGGGACGCAGGACTGAGGGTACTGAGCTCTGCAGCCCTCCCCTCCTGGCCCCTCCCACCCATGGCGGGAAGTGCCCTCTTCTGCAGACCTAGATTTAATGTCAGGGAATTCACTGTCTGGGTGGGAAGGCCACATGGTTGAGGACCAGGTCAAAGAACAAAGGCTTTCAGGGGATGGGCTGGAACCCTGCAGGGAAGTGCAGGGGTTGGCTAGCTCGGTGATAAAGGGTCCATGCAAAAGATCTCAAATGGCAAAAAAGCCCTTAGTTCCAGCAGAGGCAGGTGGATCTCTGTGAGTTCGAGTCTAACCTGGTCTTCAGAGCTAGTTCCAGGACAGGCTCCAAAGCTTCACAGAGAAACCCTGTCTCAAAAAACAAAACAAAACAAAACAAAAAGAAAATGTTGAGTGCTCCTCAAGAGAACCTGAGTTCGGTTCCCAGCACCCATGTATAATAGTAGTTCATAACTGCCTGTGAAACTCTAGCTCCAAGAGGTTGAACACCATCTTCTGGCCTTTGTGGACACACACACACACACACACACACACACACACACACACATGCACAGAGACAGACAGACAGAAAGACGACAGGGAGAAAGATGATAAAGACGGAGACAGACTTAAGACAGTTCTCAGTGTGGCTCAGGATGAGCTGCCTTAGGGAGAGAGCGAGAGCGAGAGGGCGGTCCAAGATGGAAGGCTCACGCATGTGCACACATGCTTTTGAGTTTTTTTTTTCCCCCAGTACTGAGAATTGAACCCAAGTAACAACCCCGCTAAGCTGCACTTTACCACTAGCCAGGCTCCCAGCCCCTCACCAGTGGCCTCTAGATGATGCTCTACCATTAAGCCCTGTCAAAGGGGCCTGCCTGTTCAGGAGGGGAGGACTCCGTTCTCACAGGCCTCGGAATCCATCTATCTTGCCAGCATTGGGAGCCCAGGATCTCTGGGATCTCTGCTTGTGTCTTTGGCTCCAGGCTGCCTCCACACCAACCTGATTCCCATGGAAACAGCAGGGTTAACTCACCCTGGGGACTCTTCTCCATTAATCCAGGTACAGTGGATTTGGATTGACTCTCACTTAAACCAATACCCAATGACCACTGTCCACTGTTTCAGCACACTTATGAGTGTTCCAGCAAGGACGGTGGAATGTTCTTTTCTTTTTTTTTTTTCTTTTGGTTTTTGGAGGCAGGGTTTATCTGTAGCTTTGGAGCCTGTCCTGGAACTAGCTCTGTAGACCAGGCTGGACTCGAACTCACAGAGATCTTCTTGCCTCTGCCTCCTGAAGGCTAGGACTAAAGGCGTGTGCCACCACCACCCAGCTCAGTGGGAGGTTCTTGATTGAAGTCTGGATCTGTACTCAGAAGGTTACACAACCCAAGGTGCTGTGTGTGTGTGTGTGTTTGTCTGTCTGTCTGTCTGAATGGTACTTTTATAATATAGTTTTGAAGGAAAAAAGATTTTATTACTCCTGGTCTGTAGTACTGGACCCGATAACTCCTTGGGTAAAGGTGCTTGCCAAGAAGTCTGTTGACCTGAATTTGATCCCTGGGACCCTCATGGTTGTCCTCTGACCCCAACATGTGCACTATGACAAACAGATAACAATGGCTTTAAGAATGTGGCTAGACACACTAGGCTATGGGTATTTCTGCACATGAGCATGGCTACATAGGTAGACTGTGGTGTGGGAGCCTCACATGGTAACCACAACTCTGCTCTGAGCCCTGTCCTTCCCACCCTGGAAAATCAAGACTCTTGGATGACAGAGACACTGGGAACCTATCCTAAGTACCCAAGATGCTCTCCTACTCATAGAGTTCACATGGGAGTGTTGTTAAAACCAAGAACCCTGCTGGTGTGCTTTTAGTGGATTCTGTAATGGTGGCAAGAGACACATAACACGGCATTTACCATTTGAAAGTTAAAAAAAAGTGCTGGGGATCAAGTCCAAAGTTACTCATGCTAGGCAGGGGCTCTACCACTGAGCCACACCCCAGTCCCTCACTGGGGGATTCTAGGCAGGGGCTCTACCACTGAGCCACACCCCAGTCCCTCACTGGGGGATTCTAGGCAGGGCTCTACCACTGAGCCACACCCCAGCCCCTCACTGGGGGATTCTAGGCAGGGGCTCTACCACTGAACCACACCCCAGCCCCTCACTGGGGGATTCTAGGCAGGGGCTCTACCACTGAGCCACACCTCCAGTCCGTCACTGGGGGATTCTAGGCAGGGGCTCTACCACTGAACCACACCCCAGCCCCTCACTGGGGGATTCTAGGCAGGGGCTCTACCACTGAGCCACACCTCCAGTCCCTCACTGGGGGATTCTAGGCAGGGGCTCTACCACTGAGCCACACCTCCAGTCCCTCACTGGGGGATTCTAGGCAGGGGCTCTACCACTGAGCCACACCCCAGCCCCTCACTGGGGGATTCTAGGCAGGGGCTCTACCACTGAACTGTAGCCTCACAGCTCCATTAACCATTCAAAGAATACACAATTGACTGTGTAGATAGATTTACATTGTTACACAACCACCACCACTATCCATTTCTTGGCCCCTTCATTTCTCTGCCTCCATTATACAGGGTTTCCCTTCCTCCCAGCCACCACTGTGCTTTCAGCCTTATGATTTTGACTACTCTAGGCTCCCCGTTTGAATGGAGTCATATAATGTCAGTCCTTTGTGACTGGCTTGTTTTACTTGCATAATGCTCTCGAGACTCATGCATGTGGCATCACAGGTCAGAGTGCCCATCTTTCTAAAGACATCACATCTGCTCACCCGTCCGCCAGAGATCACTTGGGTTACTTCCATGTTTTAGCTATTATGAACCACTCAGTTATCAGTGATAGTGTACAGGTTTCTACTCAAGCCCACCATTTACAGTCTTTTGAGTATGTACCCAGAAATGGAATTCCTGGCTTACACAATGGCTATAGTAAGTCTTTTGAGAATCCACACCAAACTGTTTTCTTTTTTTTGGGGGGGGGTTAATGGTGGTGCAGGGTCTGGTCTCAGACTCACAAAGATTCCCTCTGCCACTTCCTGGATCATGGGATTGAAGAATGTGCCACCAAGTATTTTTGCTTGTATGTGTCTATGTGTGTCATACATGTACCGGGTGCCAACGAGGCCAGAAAATTGTCTCAGATCCCCTGGGATTGAGTTGTGAACCAACATGGGTGCCAGGAACCCAAACCCAGTCTCGAAGATCAGCAAGAGCTCTTAACCACAGAGCCCATCTATCCTACCCTGCTTCTTTATCAGACTTTTAAACCCTTAACACTTCCAGAAGAAGTCTGCTTTGGGATAATCACAAAAGACATACAAGGGGAACAGGAAAACGTAGAAAAACTCAAGAGTCTCCTCAAAACACAGTGAAAGTGAATCTGAGAATTACTGTGTCAGCAACTTTCACCGATGGACCGTTATGGCCCTCAGCCTTCATTACGAATGGGTGACGGTTCCTGTGAGAGCCTGCACTCAAGCTCGGGGGGCATGAGTGTATGGAGCCTGGTGGGTTTTCGCCGAGGGGTTTTCGAGGACTTCCGATTTAGTATTTAAAGGACAGCTGGTGTCAATTGAGCCTAACTCATTCTGTACAAGTACATTCTGGCTTTTGCTTCCTCTGGATTCAACTCCTTGGTGTACAGGTCGTCTCCAAATGACTGACAACCTCACCGCGGTTCCCTGGAAAATGAGGGGGGTTACCCAGCCGGTCAGGGACAAAGGTGGGGGTCTCCAGACGCCTCTTGGGATTCTCACTAATGTCCTTTTACAGGCCTCACTTACAGTCAGGATGAGGTAAATGAGGAGGGCGGAGGGATAGCAGGAGGAGGGGATTCTCAAAGCAACCCCCCCCAGGAATGTATTGCATTAGGAAGAAGTCATGCCTCAGCCCTGCCTCTCCACGCACTGTCTTGGTCCCCAGCAGCCGGTTCCGTGCCACCCCACCTTCTATCGACCCTCTCTCCCCTTCTCTCCCCAGCACAGTCTCCCAACGTCCTGACTTGGAGAGAGAGACCAGATCTTGGGATCAAGAGGCCAGGCGAGCGCTGCCCGAGACCCCGGGCGCAGTGCCGGTCTAACCCCAGGCTCCAAGATCCAGAGCGAGCGGGACCCGGCCGGAGCCGCGTGCGTGGAGCTGTCCAGCACCCCGAGGCGGGGCGTGTGCCCCCCGGCCCGCCCCAGCCGCCTCCGCCCGCCCCTGCCAGCGCCACTGCGGCTCGGCGGCCGAGTCACGTGGCTGGCGCGGCGCGGCCTCCCGGCTCCAGGCTCCGGCGAGGGGCCGGGCGGGAGGACAGACGGACGCGCGGACGCACGCCTGGTGGCACCGAGCGGCTCAGCGCCGGGCGGCCCGGGGACGGACGGGCAGGGCGCGCCGGGGCATGGGCGCGCCGGGGGTCTCGGTGCGCAGGCCGGGCTGGGCGAACAGGCCGGGGCTCGGGGACCGCGGCGGGCGAGGGTCCTCCCTGGCGACCGCCGCTGAGCCCCCGCGGGGCCCGTGACGCCGCGGCCGATGTGGCCCCGCGCGTTGCGGGCCTGCACCGCCGCCGCACAGAGACGCCGCCGCAGCCGCCGCCCGCAGCCGGGTCGCGGCCGCCGAGCCAGCCCGAGCCCCAGGCGGAGCCCCGGCCGCAGGGCAGCGGGAGCCCGCGCGCGGCTCGCGCCGGCATGGAGAAGCGCGCGGCCGCGGGGCCGGAGGGGGCGCCGGGCGCCAGGGCGCCGCTCGCAGTCGTCTGCCTGGGTGAGTGGGCCGCGCGGGGCCGGCCAGGGTAGCGCTTCGGAGCCCGCACTGCCATGGCTCCCGGGCCCAGGCTGCAGCGATCGCTGCTCCCTTGGGTGACTCCCACAGAGCGGCACTCCAGGCCCGGAGCTGGGCGTGGGGTGGGGTTGGGGGGGCGAGGGGCGAGAATCTCGAACGCTGGCCTCGGGTTCCTGCCGGGGAGGCTGGGGTTTGCCTGTCGCCTCCAGGCCGGCCTGCAGTGAGCTGTGCTCTGGCCCCCGGAGCTGCGGACAAAGGCCTGGATTGCTGCTCCCTGCAGAAGAAACCGTTTCCTGCCTGGAGTCTGGGCAGGCCTGGGAGCTAGCCAAAGATGGGGACTCAGCTTGGGGGCTGGGGGCGCTGGGGGGGGGAGGCAGATGTGAGAACTCATTTTCCCGTTGTGGCTTCCAAGACCCAGATGGCCATGGGCCGCTTCAGCCCTGATGGGGGTGGGAGTCTGTTCTGGGGGAGGGCCAAGAACCTGCCAGGGCTGGAACCTGGGTTGGAAGGCTCCTTGCCTGACCACTTTCCTGGGGCCCTTTGCAGGAGAGGGGAAGGAAAGAGTTAAATCCTCAACCCACATGGCCCTTTATTTACCTTGATGAAGGAGGGAGGCCCTGAAGAGCTGGGGTCATTAGGGGACACCCTATGATGTCACCGTTGAGGGCCCAGGAACTTGACAGCTCCCTGAAACCACTGAAATGACTAGTTGGCTCTGTGGGGGGATTCTTCATTTTAAGTCGTAACTCTCATCTGGCCCCCAAGAATAGAGGAGGGTGAGGTTTTTTGGGGGGGCACTGCATAGGCTGTGTGAGCTCATCAAAGTCGTGGCATATGCCTAGCGTGCCTGCTTCGGATGCCGCGGGTGGTCATGGCTTCTGGGTCCCCGCTGTTATGTTTCCCAGGTGGGCAGGGCAGAGGTAAGATTCCCCTGTCTGGGGGCTAGCAAAGCCTGAACGCCCTGGGGTGGGGAGGGGGTGAGTACCCTGCTTCTTCACCAAATGGAGAAATACTGCTCCAGAGATGAATTCCTCAATCAAGGAGGGGGTACCCTGGCCCCCAGGAAGTTTAATTTGCTTCTCACTTGGCCTAGACTCTGTCTAGACGGAAGCTAAGGACACTCCTGTGGAAGTAGGCAATCACTGCGGTAGTAGCAGAACTCTGCCCTTAGGACAGCAGGGTGCAGGGAAGAAGATGATGTTGTCACCCCAACGTCCATCAAGGGAGGCAGCCCTTCGAGGTGATAGGGACCCTCTTGAAAGGCAGAGTTGTAGGGACTGAGCCTATGTGATGTGTAGCCTCAAGCCTGACAGAAAACCAGCTAATTCTGAGTGTCGTGACACGGGACAATGCAGTCAGGCTATCACTGCTGTCGCAGGCAGGCGTATAAGGGCAGGTCCTGAGCCCTTCTGGATTCCTCTCCTTTGCTGGGCTGGAAGGGCTGGGAGGGAGATTCTCTGGCAGTGATGTGGGCCATGTCCAGAGAGAGAAAGGGAGCCTGCCATGACTTCAACTGTATGGTCCTCTCTCTGTTCACTGCTAGCCCAAATATGTGCCTGGCCCCCAGGAGCTACCGTCCCTTGCTGACATCTCTTTGTGTCTTCCACAGTGAACCTCTTTCTCACGGGGAGGCTCAGCGGTGCTGTCCCTGCCTTAGGTGAGTAACCCTGGGTTGGTGACCTCTCAGGATGGGCCTTCAGTCTTGGCTGTATCGTGTGTCCATTGGGCCTCTGGTTGGGGGAACCTTTCCCTGTGTGCCTTCACAGCATCACAAAGGAACTGTTAGCCGAAAGCAAATTTAAGTTTAGTGCTAAAATAGGTAAAATGCCAGACTACCTCAAACCTGGCCTAATGGATTCGTTGAAGCAATGATCTGGTGCTCGATTAGAAGCTTGGTACCACTGCAAACTGTCAAAAGCCCTGTTCAGTTGATAGATGTGTCTCTTGTGGGCTGTGGCATTCCTTGGGGACACTGGATGCTCATGTGTACTAAAACAATGCCTAGGGTTTAATGTTACCACAGAAGCCAGTACCATTGAGGAAAAAAAAAAAAAAAATCAGACCTTTAAGACTGATTTGGTGGCTCAGACCTGTAATTCCAGCTACTCAGGAGACTGAGGCAGAAAATCTGCCTGAACTACTAAATTCAAGGAAAGTCTGGCCAATTTTGTGAGATTCTGTCTAAAACTTTTTTTAAGGGGCTGGGCATATAGTTCAGTTGTAGAGCATCCACCTATAATCCATCAGTGAAGAGCAGGGGGCGTGACTAATGGCAGAGCACTTGCCTCGAATCCACCAGTGAGGAGCAAGAGGCGTGGCTCAGTGGTGTAGCACTTGCCTAGAATCCACCAGTGAGGAGGAGGGGGCCTGGCTCAGTGATGGAGCACTTGCCTAGAATCCATCAGTGAGGAGGAGGGGGCGTGGCTCAGTGGTGGAGCACTTGCCTAGAATCCACCAATGAGGAGCAGGGGGCGTGGCTCAGTGGTGGAGCATTTTCCTAGCTGGGCTTCAAGCCATAAAAGGTTTAGCTGGGCTGCCGCAGGAGGCAGGATGAGGGGAAGGGAGAAGCCACAGCTTTCATTGGGGTTTCCAGGAGAAAGGCACAGCAATCAGGCAAACAGTTTTGACAGCTTAGAACCAGTTTCAATCATCCTGGAGGCGAATTCTAGGGCAGGTTCTGGCTGGCTGGTACCTAGCCCTGGGATTCTTCAGGGCAGAAGAGTGTATTAGCTTGTGTGTGAGGGTCAGGAGGACGCTAGGTAAGAACACAGCTCTGCGTGTGAAAGGCTAGCTCCAGGCAAGCCACCTTGCAGCAAAGAGTTGGACACATAAGGTGTGAGAAAGCAGTGGGAAGCCCTGTGCTGGCCTCTTGCCTGTCAGTGTTGGCTGGCCATCTTTGAGCTGTGATCTGGTGTCAGGAGAGGGAAGAGCAGCCACAGATGCTCCTCCTTGGTGGTGGAGAGGCTCCCACTGTTTGGAGAATGGATAGCTCGGATAGTTGTGAGGTGGGTGACCCAGGGAGACTGCTCTATCACTAACACGCCACGTCTCTTGCTCCTTTACTCAATATATGGCCACCTTCAGCAAACGCTAAAATGGTGCGTAGTACCAGGTGTGGTGTCCCATGCCTGTAATCCTAGCACTGGGGAAGCTGAGGCAGGAGGATTGTTTGTTAGTTCCAGGACTACATAGAGAGAGATCCTTCCTCAAAAGTAAGCCAAAGGTTCCAAAGGCTAAGGACTTGGCAGAAGTACATTGAGGCAAGGTGACTCGGGGTGTAGTCAGTAAGGGTATGTGACCCCAAGTTTGGGGAACTGGAACCTGTGTATCTCGTGCTACACAGTGACGCAGGAGCTATGTGGGGTTCCAGGTTTTAGGCTGCCACTGAGCCCACTGAGGCTCAGGATGGGTAGACCTAGCTGGTGGTGACTGCAAGGATTATGGGAAGCGGGCAGAGGCATGGTGTTGATGTCTAGAATCCAATTTCTCTTTTGGCTGTCTAGAAGGCTGGGCTTTTGCTCCCCACAATCCTGTCTGTACCCCAGCTCTGTGTTTTTCTATAACTGGGCCTCCTCTGCTGACCCAGGCTGGCCCAGGGCCCTGCCTTAGTCAGCACTGACCAGCCCAGCCCTGCCTGATGTACTGACCACAAAGGACAGCCCGGTTTCCCATCCTGACTCCAGGAAAGCACAGACTCAGGCGTCTGTGTCCAGGGTACAGTGCGGGAAGCCGGATGACAGAGCATTGATAGCTTGCAAGCCTGAACCCAAGACTGGCCCTTCTGCTGCTGGTGGTCGGGTAGGCATTGCTAGTCTAGATGTGTCCCCCCAGGTTTGCAGAAGTGATGCTCAAGTAACAAGGCTTACTCATAGTGCCTGGGAGAGAATGGCCCAGGCCCTCCTGTTTGACTTCCTTAGCTGTCCAGACCCAATGCCCAGCGGATATCATTGCTCACCTCCAGGGATGGCTGTTCATGCATTGGTGCCTGTGCCCTTGATGCTGGGAGCTGAATGCACAGCTTGCATGGCAGTGACAGGTGGTAGGGTGGGTCCCAGTGTCCCTGGAATCCAGTTCTGATCCCTCTGGCATAGCTGACCAGCTTGTACCTGGTCCACCAGACCCCTCCCAGCATGGACCTCATTTGCAGATACTTTCTCTAGTCCCTACCGTCTCCTAGCCCTTTCTTGGCCCACACCCTCAGCCCATCCCTTGCCCCTCCTGTGTCAGGCCCTCCCTGGGTCAGATCTGCCTCCTGAGTCCTGCACGCCCCTGCTTCCCTCTGTGGTGCTAGGGGTTGGCCTGGATAAAGCTCCCCCTGCCTTCTACTCAGATAGGTACTTGGTCATGCAGCTGGGGATGAGAGGAGCCTGGCTCCCTGCTGTGGGGGTACAACATGCTGGTGGTCCAGGTCACTGACAGCCTCTGGAAATCAGATCTACAAGTCATGCTGCATCAGGCCCTGGCCCTGTCCTCTCGGGAGGATTGACAAAGCTTCACACCCACAACTCCGACACTGCCTGTAAAACTGCCTTTCATCCCTTCCCTACGAAGTCACGAGAGTTCAGTCTTCTGTAAGGGCAAAGGCTGGTCTCCATCTCAAGTTCAGGGGGACCTCTCTGACCCCCCCCCCAAGCACCCCCAGGGATCTCTCCAATACCAGTATCCCATGAACTGCTCTTATCTTTATATACCTGGTCAAGTCCTCACTTCCCACAAGACATTCCTGTAGACTCCTCTGCCCCACTGGTCTGGCCCATCACATGACTGTTTGTCTCAAGAATGTTACTTTCTTGATTGTTCCCAACCGTAGCAGCATGCACTGACTGAATAAATGTGGGCACACGGACAGGTGTCCTGGCTGGGGCGGGAAGAGGGCAAGATGTCGCCTTAGAACCTTGATGGAATCTGTGTAGGAGGGGACCCAATCTCACCGGGTCTGCCTGCCAGGAGCCACTCACTCTGCACCTCAGGAAGGGGGACTCCTCCAGGTCACCTCAGGGAGACGCCTAGGTCTCTGCAAGATTCCCGTGCTAGTGGCTTTGTTTGTCCCCAGGAGCCGGGTCCAGGCTGGGGTACCTTACAGGTTCTCTTGAGACCCTGTTCTGCTAGCTGGGCTGGGAGTAGAGTGCACAGCTCCTGTTTCCATGGTGAAGCCCTGAGATTGGGGAGGCTGCATCCTAGGACCACATGTGAGCATTAGCAGCAGAGGAACTGGCTGAACCTCACTGAGCTGGGACCCTGATGCTGTAAGGGTGAAGCTCTGAGGATGGCCGCCCCACACTGGGGACAAAGGTGGCCTTTCCTTCCCTCCATTTGCTTCCCTTTTCTTTCTTTCTTTCTTCCCTTCCCCCTCAAATCTCTTTCTTCCTTCCTTCCTCCTTCCCTTCCTTCCTTCCTTTCTGTCTGTCTCCCTTTCCTTCTTCCTCTCTTTTCTTCCTCGGATCTTATGCAGACCATGCCAGCCTAGAACTCACAACGTAGCCCAGGCTGGCCTCAAACAAAGGCTCTTCCTGCCTCAGCCTCCTGTGTGCTAGTATTACAGGTGTGTGCCATTTCTGGCACAGCTCTTTGATGCTCTTGTGCATGGATTGGATAACCAAGACCCCCCCCAAAATCATGGCTGGTAGAGTGGGTACAATCCCTCAGAAAGTACTAGACTGACCATCAATAGTTCATGCTGGTCACCTACTGTACATCAGGCACTGTGCTGGCCCTGGGTGTTCCAGAGTGTTCCAGCCTGCCCTCCTCCTATGGGGACTTGTGATCAAACAATTTCTGGAACAATCGGGAAGTTACTATGTTGGCAGAGGCTGAGGAGGAGAGAAGGGGCAAAGGGTAGAGGCTCCACTGGGAGTGACCTGGTGACGGCTTCCCTAAGAAAGGGCCCCACAGAGCTGAAGCTGAGAAGGAGTGGGTGAGTGGAACAGGAGAGCGGGGAACAGCCCTCCCTCCCATGGGAGGGATCTTGGGGATGAGGGAGACAAGGATACAGGAGATATGAGGCTGTTGGGTAGACAGGCGAACATGTCATCTTCCTGAGCGATTGGGATGCAGAGGCTTGGAGTGGGGTCGTCCTGCAGCAGCTGCTCAGCCTGAGGCTGGAGAGAATGCAAGCCTCGGAGACCCCACGGCAGGGGCTGCAGTGGAGGCTGAGGAAGTTGACTCGGAGAAAAGGCTCACTGTCTGCTTCCCGAACCCTGCCCTTCCACCTCTAAAAGGGCCTAGCCTTTGTGACAGGCTGGACTAGATAAACGTTTGGGGGTCATGGCAGGGATGCTGCTGAGTGCGAAGGTGACCTGCCTGGCCCTGGGGAAGCCCACACAGCAGGGCAGGTGTGGTGTCTCCCGCTCATGCTGGCCAATGACAGCTTTCTCTCCATCCCTCATGGGGCATACAAATGCTTGTGAACTGAGGTGTTGCAGTGAAAGGCAGAGCCCACCGAGGGCCAGGTGAATCCTGGCTCTGCCTCTGACTGGTGCCGCCTTCTGTGAACCTCGGTTCCTTTATCTGGTTAGGACATCTACCTCCAGTATTTTTTCATGTATATTGAGATAAAATCCCAAATTTTAAATTAAAAAAAAAAAGATTTATTTTTATTTCTGTGTAAAGGGGCAGGCACAGGTTGTACACACGTGTAAGAGGCCAGATAATGGCACTGGATCCCCTGGAGCTGGACTTTCAGGTAGTTGGGAGTTGCCCACTGTGGGTGCTGGGAGCCAAAGCCCGGTCCTGTGCCAGAGCAGCAACCGCTCTTAAACACTGAGCCATCTCCCCAGCCCCCAGACGCAGACTACACAGCCAGGTGTGGACATTGCTACCTCCCTTCATGCCACCAGGGAGTCTGCATAAATTCTGTGTGCTTCGATCCCCAACCTGTGAGATCCACAGGGAAGATTTTCAGACTCATTTATTCAGCATGCCTGTTACTTCTGCGTGGTGCATAGTAGGTGTCCAGTAAATATGCATCAGATGGCAAAGCCCCTCTTTTTCCGGGGCTGTGTGATTTTAATGTTTATTTAATTTTATGTGCATACATGTGTGCCTGAGCTTATGTTTGTGTACCACACATGTGCAGTACCCGTGGAGGTCGGAAGAGGGCACTGGATCCCCTGGAGCTGGAGTTACAGATGGTTGTGAGCGGCCATATGGGTGCTGAGAATTGAACCTGGGTCCTCTGCAAGAGCAGAGAGTGCTCTTAACTGCACCTCCATCTTTCCAGCTCCCCTGGGGTTGCATTCCACATGGGTGTGCAGGGGACTCCTGTGAGATGGCCTGTGTAGGTCCACATGCAGAAGATCTACTTGTAAGGCTCCCACTAAGCCGAGGTCTTGAGACTTCACATTGCCTCAAGTCTGGAGGGTCCCTCCTTGAACTCCACTCACACATGACTTCCATGAAGACTTGAACTGTAGGCTGCCTGGGCTTAGTGGAAGCTTGTGTTCCAAGCCATGGTCAGAGGCAACCCACAAAAGCTGCTTCCCACCCAATGCTGAGCGGACATTTCTCGGCCTTCTCTCCCAACAGCTGCCTGCAGTGGGAAGTTGGAACAGCACACTGAACGGCGAGGGGTCATCTACAGCCCAGCCTGGCCCCTCAACTACCCACCGGGCACCAACTGCAGCTGGTACATTCAGGGTGACCGGGGTGACATGATCACCATCAGGTAAGGGGAGCTTCTGTGGGGCCGCACATGTGTGTATGCCTAGCAGGTGTGGAGGGCACACCCATGGGTGTGCGCAGGCGTGGTATGCACAAGCCCAGGTCTCAGCAGGCACGCCGTGTGTGTGTGTGTGTGTGTGTGTGTGTGTGTGTGTGTGTTTGTGTGTGTTTAGGTATATAGACATATTTAGGAACAGGTGTCTGAGAGACCTGTGTGGCCACATGTGAGCTGTAAGCATATGTATGCATGTGAACGTATGATCATTTCATTGCCCACTTCCTTGGCTGGTGCTCTGAGCTGGGTCACTTCCTGTACTGAGTCTTTTTGGTTTTAGTCCCCCAAAGTGAGTCTTAGGAGCTGGGAGGCTGGTAGTCTGGCTGCTTAAGGTGGCGAAGGCATCTGTTTCTGTCCTGCAGGAGTGGCGTGAGGCCACGGTGGCCTGGAGCCCAGGTCAGGGTTTCTGCAGGGACCTCAGGTGTCCCTCAGGGAACAGGTAGAGGGGACAGGGTAATGTACTAGAGTGTGTCACTGAAGAGCTAGAAACCCAGACCTGGGATGATCATGGGAACATTTGGCTAGGGGTTCACTGTGAGTTCTGTCTGCCACACTACTAAATGCTAAACTCCAGAAGCCTGCCCCACTGTCCAGGTCGAAATACCCCGTAGATCTGAAGGACAGGAATGGGACAGGCACGAGCAGAGGCTCTTCTGGTTTCTATGCCCATTTCGCTCAGCTTTGGTGACAATGTTTCACCTGGGCAGCTTTTAGTCACCTGGCGGCAGCATCGGGTGGCCTCAGGGCTGCTGACCCTCCGCACTCAGTTTTGGGCTGGGGGTGCTTGTGTACGCTCGCGGCGCAGAGCTGGGAGCTCCCTGGGGTGGCGGCAGCATGGACCCTGAGGGGCTGAGAGTGAGAGCTAGGCAATTTGGGAGATACAGGGAGGGCCGCTGGGTGGGACCGAGCTAGCTAGTTGTCTTTGCCATGAGCTCCAGCTTGACTGCTACTGGCCAGCCCTGGGCCATGCGCCCCCTGCCCACACCCTGTGGTCCTCTCGGCCCCACAGTTTCCGAAACTTTGACGTGGAGGAGTCTCACCAGTGCACCCTGGACTGGCTGCTGCTGGGCCCAGCAGCTCCACCTCGCCAGGAGGCCTTTCGCCTCTGTGGCTCAGCCATCCCGCCCGCCTTCATCTCTGCCCGTGACCATGTCTGGATCTTCTTCCACTCAGACGTCTCCAGCTCCGGCCAGGCCCAGGGATTCCGCCTCTCCTATATCCGAGGTGATGCAGCGAGCCTTTCCACTAGCCCCAGTTTTCTGCAGGGACTCCCCTTACCAGGCCTGCAAATCCTAGGGCAGGGGTGGGACTGATGTCTGAGGGTCCTTCAGCGTCACTTTAGATAACTGACCCCGGTTTGCTGGATGTGAACCTGCCCTCAGCCTAAGCTCAGCTCCGATACTGAATGTAGGCCTCCTTCCGCGAGTCTGTGCCCCCTAGGTGGTTACACAAAGGCCCAGTGGGGACTGAACCCATTTGCCTGCTCCCAGCCTCAGGCCTGGTGCTGGAAGGAGGCTCATCCTGTCACCTCTTTGCCTCCAGGGAAGCTGGGCCAGGCATCCTGTCAGACAGATGAGTTCCGCTGTGACAATGGCAAGTGCCTGCCTGGTCCTTGGCAGTGCAACATGGTGGATGAGTGTGGAGATGGCTCAGATGAGGGTAACTGTTCAGCCCCTGCCTCGGAGCCACCAGGCAGCTTGTGCCCGGGGGGCACCTTCCCATGCAGTGGAGCTCGCTCCACACGCTGCCTGCCGGTTGAGAGGCGCTGTGACGGCACCCAGGATTGTGGCGATGGGTCTGATGAGGCCGGCTGCCCCGACCTAGCATGTGGCCGGAGGCTGGGAAGCTTCTATGGTTCCTTCGCCTCCCCAGACCTGTTTGGCGCTGCCCGCGGGCCGTCGGACCTTCACTGCACATGGCTGGTGGACACACAGGACCCTCGGCGTGTGCTGCTGCAGCTGGAGCTACGGCTGGGTTATGATGACTATGTCCAAGTATATGAAGGCCTGGGCGAGCGTGGGGACCGTCTGCTGCAAACACTTTCCTACCGCAGCAACCACCGGCCCGTGAGCCTTGAGGCAGCACAGGGCCGCCTCACCGTGGCCTACCATGCTCGTGCCCGCAGCGCCGGTCACGGCTTCAATGCCACCTACCAGGTGAAGGGCTACTGCCTTCCGTGGGAGCAGCCGTGTGGGGGCAGTGGCGAGGGCGACGATAGCAGCGCAGGGGAGCAGGGCTGCTTCTCAGAGCCACAGCGCTGTGACGGCTGGTGGCACTGTGCGAGTGGCCGGGATGAACAGGGCTGCCCGGCATGCCCTGCTGACCAGTACCCCTGTGAGGGTGGCAGCGGCCTGTGCTACGCGCCTGCGGATCGTTGTAACAACCAGAAAAGCTGCCCGGATGGTGCCGATGAGAAGAACTGCTTTTCCTGCCAGCCGGGCACCTTCCACTGTGGCACCAACCTGTGCATCTTTGAGACATGGCGCTGCGATGGCCAGGAGGATTGCCAAGATGGCAGTGATGAGCACGGCTGCCTGGCCGCTGTGCCCCGCAAGGTCATCACCGCTGCCCTCATCGGCAGCCTGGTGTGCGGACTGCTGCTTGTCATCGCCCTAGGCTGTGCCTTCAAACTCTACTCCCTGCGCACGCAGGAGTACAGGTGGGCACCGCGTGGTGGCCTGGAGCCCCAGTCCCTCCATTCCCCAGGAGAAAAAAAAAAAAAATCTCACCACATCCCAAGCTGTGGGTTTGGGTCATCCCAACGGACTGTTCTTGTGTCTGCATGCAGGGGCGCTGATGACCAGGTGGGGTCCCTAAATCCCGCTGTCGAGGCAAATCCCTATCATTCTTCCCTTCTGCCGGTTGCTTTCAGGGCCTTTGAGACCCAAATGACACGTTTAGAGGCAGAGTTTGTGCGGCGGGAGGCCCCCCCATCCTACGGTCAGCTCATCGCACAAGGCCTCATCCCGCCCGTCGAGGATTTTCCTGTCTACAGCGCATCCCAGGTGAGCCTCCATGAGTATGACTATGAGATCCCACAAAGCTTCTTTCCTGCTGGGCCTGACAGCCCCTAAGACCAGGAGGCCTAGGGGGCAGCTAGGGCTGGGGTGATCGGGGCAGGAGGTGGAGGGAGCTCAGATCAGTCTCTGGTCTGGAAGGGGGTTGTTCCCGAATGGCCTGGCCCCTACTTTAGCTGCTGCTCCACCCTCAGGCTTCAGTGCTCCAGAACCTTCGCACAGCCATGCGACGACAGATGCGTCGGCATGCCTCCCGCAGGGGGCCATCCCGCCGCAGGCTCGGTCGCCTCTGGAACAGGCTCTTCCACCGCCCACGGGCACCTCGAGGCCAGATCCCACTGCTGACGGCTGCGCGGACCTCACAGACCGTGCTGGGTGATGGGCTCCTCCAGGCAGCACCAGGGGCTGCCCCAGACCCGCCAGCCCCCCCTACAGACACGGGCAGCCCCAGGGAAGCTGGAGATGGGCCTCCCGGTGGTCTTGGCCACGTACCAGAAGTGGGGCCTTCAGTGCAACCCCCACCCTTGAACCTGCAAGATCCAGAGTACAGGCCAGAGGACAAGGAGAGAAAGGCCTGTGAGGACGAGCCTCAGGAAGACAGCCCAGCCCCTGGGGACACACCTCCAGAGCCCTGCTTGGCCCAGGACCCCTATCCCCAGACTCCTACTGCCAGCAGCACCCAAGATCTCCACTCACCAGAGCCATTGGGGGTCTGCAGGAGCCCCCCACCAACCTGCTCCCCAATATTGGAGGCTAGTGACGATGAGGCCCTGCTGGTCTGCTGACCCGTTGGACACGCTGATGACTGCCACAGCCCCGCTTTGTAACCAGGGAATACACAGTCATTTCTACCCTGCCTCTGCATTCTTTCTTACAAACAGAGGCCCACCTGGCAGCCCCAATGGAAGGCCTGGGCGCTCAGCCAGTGGGCTTCTCTGCAAGCTGATAGCCCTGATGGGCATTGCTGGCAGGGGCTTAGGGGCCCATTACTCGGCCCGGGAAAGAGGGTGGAGTGATAAGACCACCTTTGAGGTCGGCAAGAACACAGCCCCTTGGAGTCCCACGTCAGATCGTTCTTTACAGCTCTAATGTGGGGACTCGTTTCCATAAAAGCAGGAGAGCCGGAGCCAGGCTTTCTGCTATGTTTCTGTGGCTTCTCAGTTCACTCACCCGGCAGTGGCACCAGCTGCCCATCCCAGAACTCTGCCAGGAGCTGTAGTTGAGGCCTGAAAAGGTCACGGGGGGTGCTGGACCTCATTCATGGTGAGTGCTCTGTCCACCCTTCCTCACAGGGCCCCTGGGGGAGATGGGCTAGTGGTTTCTGTCCCGTCTTCATGCCTGTAGCGGCAGCATGGCCCTGGCTAGGCTGGGGCCCTTGGCCCATTAGCTGCTGGGTCAGTCCCTAAGCATAATGGTAAGGCTGGAAAGTTAGAGAGAGGACGGCCATGAGAAAGGCCGTTCTATGCTTTCTCGGGATCCAGAAGCCAAGGTACCGAGTGGCAATGGTGACACCCATCTGTCCTGCCTCAGAGCCTCAGTTTCCCCACCTGCAGCCGGGTGTGCTGTGCTATCAGAAGTGGTAGCATTCACTCTGGCGACTTATGGGAAGGACAGCCCCCACTGGCGATTTCGGGGTTCTCCTGGAGGACTGAGCTCAAGGTGCCATGGAGGGTCGCAGATGTAGCCACTGACACACCATGCCGAGGCAACCAGCCCTGTTTATTTACAGGCTTTCCAGGAGAAGCTAGCAGGGCAGTCAGGGCTAAGGCAGGAAGCCCGACCCCAGTGGCTGGTCCCTCATAGTAGGCCTCTAAGGGCCGGACCTCTCTCTCTCTCTTTTTCCAGAAAAAAAAAAGTTTTTGAAAAGAAAACAAAACACAAAACCCTCCTCAATAAACAACATGTAAACAGAATCAGCTGTTTCAGTCTTTACAAGGTCTCATTGTGCCTTCAAGGGCTTGTCCGGGACGGGCAATGGGGAGGGCTGGCCCATGGGGCCATTTTCCTCCTCCTCCTCCAGGGAGCCCTGGGGGTAAACCACGAAACACAGCTCCTGGCCCCAGCGTGTCAAGGACTCTAAGAACAGACAGATAAGACAGATAAGTCATGGTGCAAGGGGGGCAGGTGTTGACCCTTAGAGACAGGGTTGACTCTAACTTCAGGCGCCTCCTTTGGGCAGGGAGTTGCTTCCTTTGTAGATGGACCCTGGCCACATCTACATGTACCAGGAAGTTTTGAGGGAAGTAACTGAGTCATTTGCCAGCAACCAGACCAGTAGAAGGCCCTTGTTCTGGGGTGGGATCAAAGAGATACTCACACTACCCCCCTCCCAAGAGGCATGGTGGCAAGAGCTGGTTCACCTGTGAGTCTGTGCACACACTTTGGTTTGCTTCTCCAGAATACTCCCAGGAAGAAGATGGGGACCCCAGTGAGGATGATGATGACGCCGACCCCACAGACCATGGGCTCTGAGATGAAACTGAAGACCAGTAGGAATGCCCAGAACACCAAGTACGCAACAGGAACGAGGAGGTTCACCTAACGGAGAAAGGGTGGCCAGGAGCACCTGGGGAGGGGCATCACCCTAGCGCTCCTTCCCACACCACCCCAGGAATCTGAGGCACTTTCTCCATCTCTTGGGACCTGGTGCCTGCTCTGGCCCCTCTGGTTGCATCCCAGTGCACTGGAGAGCAGTTCCTGGGTTGACCAGTTGGCTGAACTGCTGAGGCTGTCTATCTGAGCAGTGCTGAGCTACCCATTGCAGTTATATGCAGAATGCTATTTGCACTTGGCTACAGCCCAACTCTCTCTCTCTCTCTCTCTCTCTCTCTCTCTCTCTCTCTCTCTTTGTGCTTCATATTTCAGCACTCTTCAGGATTTATATACAGATGGGGGCGGGGCTTCTCTGTCACTCTTTCATGTGAGATCGTGAGAATGCCGGGCTCTGTCATTAGCAATCCATGTGACCTTAGTCTCATTGTTCCTGTCTGTGGACTGGGAATATTAAAAGCACATGCTTTCCTGGGGTTATGAGGAGAGAATATGTCAGTGCATGGAAAGCCCTGCGCTCTGCAAATGCTGTAGTCGTGGTCATTGTCACCCACACCTGCCTCTGGCGCTCAGCTCAGATGAAGGTGGCCCTGGTTATTTCCAGCCTCACCTTGATGGGCCTGTGGAGTGCTGGCCGCCTCCAGCGCAGCACGAGCAGGCCCAGGATAGTGACTCCGTAGCAGAGGTAGTTGATGAAGGACACATAGTTGATGAGTGTGTATGTGTCACCCACGAGCATGATGACCGCTGTGGCCCCGCACTGGGAGAGGACCAAGGGCTGACAGCTGGCCTCCCATCTGCTTCTGGCCATCCCTGCAGGCTGCTCTGGGCCTTCCCACTCAGGTCAGGAGGTTAGGTGAGTCCCAACCCTTTCCCACCCTCCATGGCTCACCTACCGTAGGCAGGAATGAGTTTTTGCCATTATCTAAAAGAAAACCCATTGCTAGGTGTCTCTGGCTATGTGCACTGGCTGGTCGGGTTCCCAAACTTACACAGACGAGGAGGGCAGGGATTGGGGTACAGTGTCTGACATGGATCATGGCCAGCAAGCTGGGCAAGTGTCCCTCTCGGGCTCCAGAGAAGCATAGCCTGGGCACAGAGAGGGGGATGAATAGGGGCACGGGACTGGTGTTGGAAGTTCTCTGTCACCTTTGAGCTCTGCCCTCCAGGCTCTCCCGGCTCTCCTCATGTAGTCTGCCTCCTGGCTTTCTCAACCTCAAGATTGGGATCGGACACTTGTAACTGGAGATTTCATGGCCTCGACTGTACCTTCCCGTGGTCCCTAGCATGGCCTGCACACGGCAAGTCCCCTACCTAGCCTCGCCTACAGCGCCCTCTCGCCCTTGCTCAGGCCAGTCACCTGGATGAGGTGAACAGGTAGCCATTGATCCCTCCAAAAGTAGACAGTGCCACAGAGACTGGCATGACCCACGAAAAGTAGCCCAGTAGCTTCTCACCGAAGGTCTGCATGGGCACAGAAGGGAGGCCAAGTGTGAGGCTGGAGATGGGGTGGGGCAGGGGCTGCGGAGAGGGCCGAGGTCCCTCCCCACTTACCACAGCCACTGCGTTGGAGGACAGCAACTCCTGGGGGGACATGGCGGTGAAGTAGGCAACATTGGTGAATGTGTACACGAAGGTAACCAGTGGGATGGAAATGAAGATAGCACGAGGTAGGTTTCTGGGGACAAAGGTTGGAGTGTCATTCAGGGTTAGGTCCTGCTGCAAGGGCGGGGCCCATAATGTCCTCAGAGTCTCCGGGCAGGAAAGGGAACAGCATTGCTGTGGGGACAGGGACATGCTGCCGTCTGCCTTTCCCCCAAACCCTGTCTGAGCACAAGCTAACAGAAGGAAGGACAGATGAGAGCCAAGGCCACCGGGATGAGGACATGCCATCCCCCGAGGGCAAGGTCTAATTAATGTCTGCAGAGAAAGGGAAAATTGCATACAGCCAAAGTCAGCCTAGAGAATCTCCCAAATGCCTTCAGGGCTCAGCCCTCAAGTCTAAGGGCTCCCTGGGGATCCTCCACACACCCCTGTCCCCTCAGCTGCTGCTGTCCCTGCCAAGGTCCCTGGCTGAGCATCAGATGGAGGATCATGGGATCTATCCTTCAGAACCATGTTGTATGCATATGGATAATGTTGGACCAAATGTAAATCACTAAGCCCATCACTAAGTACATCGATATCCAGCTCTTTCCGAGGCCGCACGAGGGATCCAGCTGCAACTGCAGACAGGGAAGAGCATGGCCCCGGAGCTCTCCTTCAAGCCTGTTGCCATGGCAGCAAGTGTGGCCAGTGGATGGCCACTCTGAGTCTCGGGTAGCAGCACATCTGCAAGGACAGCTGCTTTTCCTACCAGGGCCTTCCTCGGGGTATTCACTCACTTTCGAGGGTCAACCAGCTCCTCGGTGACATAGTTGAGGAAGTTCCAGCCACTGAAGGCAAAGGAACCTTGCAGAAAAGCCAGGGCAAGGTGACCCACGGACGGCGTCATCCAGAATGTGAAGGCATTGGTAGGCCTCAGCTCTTCAAAGTGTCCTAGAGTGTCCAGAGGGCAGGGATTAGCACAGTCCCCCCATTCTCTCCAGTGCGCCCACCCTGCTTCTACCTTGGAAGATCTGGACAAAGCCAACACCGATGATGAGCGCCAGTGCCAGCAGCTTCCCGCCAGTGAAGATATCCTGGATGCGCGTGGCCCAGCGTACACTGGAGCTGTTCACCCACGTCAGGAGCACTAGGGTGGAAAGGGGTGTGGGCACCTGAGGCCATGACCCTCTTGGTGACCCACAGCCAAATCTAGGCCACACGACAAGGGGAGCAGACTCCACAGCAGCCAGAACCCCAGGGCTGGAGGAAGAGGTTACAGGCGATGGCAGCTGGGGGCTCCCAATCCACTTTCCTCCCAACAGAGTGGACAAAGAGCATCATTGGGTGGGGCAGTCAGAGGCTCAAGGACACTCACTCAGGCAGGCCATGGAGAGTACTCGAGAGGCTGTGGCTGGGGGTATACAGTTGGGGAAGACAGGCTGAAGGACGTAGTTGGAGAAGGTCATGGAGATGACAGCCAGGCTGGTGGGGTACATGATGAGGACAGCACTCCAGAGCAGTAGGAATCTGTAAGCAGTGAGGGCTAGCACGGTACAGGCACCCTCAGCAATATCCCCGCCGGCCTGGCCCAGGGGTCAGGATCTGGGATAGATGAAAACCAGCCCCCCCTAACCCCCCCAGAGCCAGTGGACTGCCAGAGGCCGGGGAGGAACTGATCCCAGGCTGCCTCATGAACCCAGGCAGGCAAGTCCCA